ATATACATACATACATACATACATACTGTAGCTATCAAGTTATCTATTCAATGCAATCATAACTGCAGCCTTTTTCCTCCCCCTCCCTCTTTTGAGGGAGGCAACTGAAGAAAGCTTCCTTTCTGGTGGTGATAACACATACATACACATACACACATATCCACCCGCCCCAATGCAAACCTGGCTTTTGAGATTTTCTCCTACAACTGGCTTCTTCAGGAAACTCTAATAATATTTTGGTATAGGATCTTTTGATTTAGGGTTTCTGTTTTTTGAATTTTATTTCTGAGTTTTCCCTGCACTTGTACTTTTAAATAGCATACTACCTTACTATTTTGTTATAAATTTACTGTAAGAGGTTCTTGGACAGTTTGTTAGCCTTGTGAGTTAAAAATAAATATAACCACTATTTTGCTCTAAAATAGTCAATTTGGTGGGTGATAACTGAGGATACTGTGGTTGATGGAATGCTAAAAGATGCTCACTTAAGGATGTGACTACAGACACTTCCGGTTTGTCGGCTTCGGTGACAGCAGGGATTTGCTTTCTCTGCGATCCCTGCTGTGCTAGCCGCCTTGGTGCCTCCGATCCTGATGGATTTGGAGGCTAAGGCTGCCCTGTTGGGGCAGCTGAAGAAAGGGGGGATCCGGACAGGGGTTGAGGGGTATCGCAACCCCCCCCCAGCCGGCAATAACCCCCTTCTCTCAAGACGGTGGAGCGGCGGTCTTTATGGATAAAGAATGTGCAGGAGGAAGAAGAAGGAGTTTTAAAACGAAAGTTTTTTCTTGGTCGAACTGGGACCTTAAGGACATATTTAACACCTGGGAAAGTATTGGCTTGGACGCTACAATGTTCCCGATTGATGTTTTCAGCTGCGAAGAAAAGTGACGAAAAGGGGAAGTTACTCTCCCTCCCTTATGGAATTAACAAATGGACAAGGGAAACCAGCCTTTTGATAGAAGGTAAAACCTAAACTCCTTTGTTATAAATGGGAAGGGAGAGGCTTGGGAAAAAATTTTTTTTACTCTAAGACTTTGCTGGAGGAGATGCCTTGAAGATAAAGAGAATAGAAATTAATTCTAAAAAAGATTTAAAGCACAGATTGGACGTTTTTACTTTCCCTAATTTGACTTCACCCCTAGAAGAGAAATTGTAAAAAGAAGAAGCTTGTACTCTGCCTGGACTGTTTGATGACTGCGGGATTTTGGGACTTTTGGGAACTGTTTTAAGTTTGGAAATAACTGATTGGCTTAATAATAATAAGAGGATACAGAAAGAGAAGAAGAAACAGTTCAAAATGGCTCTATCTCTTGATGAACTAAAAAAACAATATTTAAAAATAAGGAAAGAAGGCAAAGATGTTATGGGAGAAGCCCTTTGTTTCCTAGATATGGCGCTTGTCATGTGTCAGCAAATTAAACAACAGCTGGAAGAAGCCGAGGAAGAAGAAGCCATTTTTAATGAACTAAACGGTGTGACTAAGAAAGAAAGGAGAAAGAGAGGAGCGAAAAGGAAGGACTTAAGAAATAAAAAAATATTTATGAAAGAGAAAAAGAAGATGCAAAAACAACAGAATGCTAGAAAGCAAAAGGAAAGAGGAATGCAACAGAAAGGGGAAACCAAGAAGGCAGAGGTTTGGAGAGGAGGGGGTAAAAAGTTTAGGCGGGCGAAGAAGGAAAGGGAAAAGGGGGAAAAAAGTTACAAAGGTATAAAACAAGATGGAGAAAAGAAAATTTTTTTTAGGGATAATGGGTAATGTATGGGTTTTTTTTAAAAAAAAGGGGGATTCTGCAAAGTACACATGAGTATTGTAATAGTGGTATTTGTATTATAAGTAGATAATCAGAACTTTTTAAGATCTAATAAAAGACTAAAATATTAAGGTATAACTTTAAAATGTTTAATAATGAATGATATTAAGTTTTAATAAAATACTAAAGGGAATGTTTAAAATATTAGTTTAAATATAGAGTTTAATGGATTAATGTGTTGACTGTTATGGATTTATTATTGTAGTATTGGTTTCTGAAATAGTAGAATGTACTAAGCAGAATCTGATTGGGATTTAGGTGTTATTTTAAATTTTAATTTAGGGGAATGATAGAAAGGCATCATACTCTGATTAGTGATTCCAGGGGAAACTATTCTTTTTTAAATTGGAAATGAGACAGATGTAAATGGAGAAATGGACAAAAGATATAAAAATATTTTTTTTAAAGCAAGATTAAATATATAAAACAGAATTAAGATGAGGCAAAAGTGGAGAGGAGTTATATAATAGATATAGAATGGTAAACAAGATAGGTAATGGTATATAAGAAGAGCATGAATTCAATTGAAGTCCATACAAAAAGAGGTAATCTGGGGCCAAGTTACTTTCTAGAAGAAAGTTTTATGTTTTTATGTCTATGTTTTATGTGTGTGTGTTTAATTAAGAATTAAATAATAAAATCTCGGAGGAAGACTAGATGAGAATAATTATAAACAAGCCAGAGGAAAATATAAATGTGATGATTGAATAGCAGATAAATTAGAAAGGAAATATGATTGAATAATGATTAAAGAGAAACAATGTGGAATTTGGTAAAGGGAATTTACGTGTTTATATGGAAATGGGATAAATTATAAGTACGTGATATAAAACAATATGTTACCTGCCTTGTAAAGATTTACAATGGAAAGAGGTTTTATGTTTTTAATGTTTAATGATGTTTTGTTTTGTTTGTTTGTTTGTAAAATCAATAAAACTTGTTTTAAAAAAAAAGGATGTGACTACACAGAAAGTGAATAGAGCTCCAGAAAAGGGCATTTATTCCAGATGTTTTGTCATTTTCTTATTGAATCATTTGGAGCTTCCTTTGTTTAGAAATGTGTTATTTAAAAGGGAACAATAAAAGTTTATAAAGAGGGAAAGAAACGTGCCTTCCATTTGACTAGAAATAATGTTGAATTTGATGAAACAGTGATCAAACTATGCAAAGCTGCTTTTTTCTGTATCAGGAAAAGGTACTGGTGTATGTAGGAGTTGCCTATTTGTAGTTAGGAATTATTGAAGCTGTGTAATTGATGAAGAATTAAGCACTGTCCTTCAGTAGTAATTTTTAAATGAAAAACTGTGTCCTTCAGTAGCAATTAAAATGTGAACCATTAAACCTTTTGTCGACTCACTGTCGACAAAAGGTTTAATGGTTCACATTTTAATTGCTACTGAAGGACACAGTTTTTCATTTAAAAATTACTACTGAAGGACAGTAGTAGGACAGTGAGTCACTGAAATATTTAAAGGATTGTAATTATTTTCTTTCAACATAAGTTTTTTCTAAAATACCTTCATTGTATAAATAACTTCAATTTTTTAATTTCTTCTGAGCAGGTTAGCTGTTCACATACCTTTAAAAAATTGTTTTCTTCTCCTTTCGCTCTATTCCAAATGGCAGTATAAAATCAAAATTTTTCTCCTTAATCCTTGAAGGTAAATATAACTAAGATGTTGTGATATTCCAGCTAATGGATTTCTTTGTATTCAGTTCTCACAGTACCTTCATGAAAATGCATCCTACATTCGCCCACTGGAGGAAGGCATTCTGCATTTGTTTGAGAACATCACAGAAGACACCATCACAGTGCTGGTAATATTGTTATTCTGTTACTATACCTCCCTGTATAAAGCTTTTGGTACTAAATATCTAAAACTTCTTTTTTTTCTTGCAAGGAAACAACTACGGAATTAAAAACTTTTTCTGACTACTTAACATCTTATGTCTGCTTTCTCAGGAAGATTCTTCCTTATCAGTTGAAAAGGTACTATCAGAGTTTTTCCCCCCCAAGCAATTTAGATAAAGCAGATACATAAAATACAAGTCCCTTTTCAGATCTTTTTTCTACCAGTTTGGGAGAAGGGCAAAAGGAAAACAAGCAAACTTGATTGTGGTCTTCCCTTTTACAGTGATGTCAATTGTCATAAGAAAGATTAAGCAGGAAATGTGATGCTTGATATTCATCAAATCTTATGTGTCAAGTGCATGCCCTGTCAAAGTAGCTTTATAACAGGAGCGTCAAACTCAAGGCCTGCGGGCTGCATCTGGCCCATGGGGTGCTTAGATCTGGCCCATGGGGTTGTTCTGGAAATAGCAAAGGACCGGCCCACGGTGCCTCTGCTAGCAAAAGGGGCACGGGTGCAACTGCTTTTGGCTTCCGGGGTGGCCTATGAGGCCTTCCAAGCCCAGAATGGGGCCTCCAGAGTTGCCCAGGAGGCCTTCCAGATCCAAAATGGAGCCTCCGCAGCCATCCAGGAGGCCTTCCAGGCCCAAAACAGGGCCTCTGAAGTGCTTCAGAAGGCTGTCTCAAAAAGTTATAAAAGGAAGGAAAAGTAAAATATTTTACCTTTCAGGCTTGCAGGATTCTGCTACTGTAGCCTATGTCAACAATTTTGCAGTTCTAGTCTTCCTACTAAGCCAGTTTCTTGATCTGGTCTCTCTCTCATAAAGTGATCAAGTAGATCAAGTAAGTATTTAAAAAATCACAGTATTATATGCCTCCCTATTTTTAGAGGTTTATACGAGGGCTATCCACAAAATAGATTACGTTTTCGTCTGTAGCAAGAAGGGGCGGAGCTAGCGCAGCCATCTTTGGTCTGTGTGTCTGCCGCTCAGTCTGCATCTAGTTGTACTAGTGTGAGGTTCGTATCGTTGCCCATTATTTCACAGAAAATGTTTGAAATGTGTGCTGCAATTGAAAATCCCGCGAGAAAAGCCCCGATCTTGCTGTAGGGCGGATGAGGAAAAATCTCCCACTTGAAAGCATTCAGGACTTTTCAAGTGCGATTTGCTGTGTGTGGTCAGGCATTGTCATGCAAAAACAAAATTTTTGAGCTTAACTTTCCTCTACACTTGTTCTGAATTGCTTTTCTTAGTTTTTGCAATGTTTCACAATAATTTCAGTTTATGTTTTTTTGCAAACAAAAACCTTATCATTGATCACACCTCTCATCTCGCAGGATTTTCAATTGCAGCACACATTTCAAAAGTTTGCTGTGAAATAATAGGCAACGATACGAACCTCCCACTAGCACAACTAGATGCAGACTGAGGGGCGGACGCACAGACCAAAGATGGCCACGCTAGCTCCACCCCTTCTTGCTACAGACGAAAACGTAATCTATTTTGTGGATAGCCCTCGTAAAACCATGTCTGTGGAGATGCGGTCCCGTGTCACCCCACCATGGCCATACCCACCTAGCCTCCCACAAGGTCAAACCCAATCCTGATGTGGTCCTCAATGAAATTGAGTCTGACACCCCTGCTTTATAATATCAAATTGGATTTTTAAAAAAGAAATACAATAGCATTAACTTATTTTCTCCAGAGGTAATGGTATCTGTACTGGTTGGGAATTCTGGTAGTCATAATTCTATTTGGAGCCTGTCAGGTTGGTGAAGGCTGCAATAGTGAGCAATTGGGAGCCATTAGTGCACCCTAGTGCACTCTTGCTTTCTTTGAACTGGTGCATTTCAGATGTACTGACACCAATGATTTGGATCTGTAGGAGATGACCAGGCTGAGCCCAATGCATCATAAGTCCCTGTGCACCCACAAGAGATCTAAGTCCAGCCCACCCCAATTCCTTTCTTAATTCCTGCACATTTCCCTTAACGGTCACTTAGCCAGATTCTTGTATAGAGCTAAGCGTGCAATAAATCCTTTTACTCATTCGAACTACCTGAATCTCCTGATTTCCCTGGCGCTTGACAGGATCATGTGAGTTCAGATCCCTTTAATCAGTTGTTCATGAGGGACAGCCTGATGTCCAACCATTGTGCAGTTGCTATTTAAAAAAAACACAAATTCCTTGTTTGGAATTATTAAGAAACATTTATGTTTAGCAGTTACCTTTCATTTGTATTCTTTTGAAATATTTTGCATTATTTTTTTTTTTACAATAGTGATGAAACTATCCTTTCAATATTGTGTACAGTTGCTACCACCACATCTTGAAAACAATATTGAACTAAAAATCTATACAAATGAGGCACCAAAATTATTAGAAGGCTGGAGTATGAAGAAAGACTATAAAAATTCAGGCTCTTTAGCTTAAATGAAGGTGGGAAAGGGAAGACAAGAAAGATAGAATGATATAAAATCATTCATGGCTTAGACCAGGGGTATCAAACTCACGTTGTCACGTGACGTATCAGGACTTTTTCCCCCCCTTCGTTAACCAGATGCATGATGCATCCAGCCCACAGGCTGTGAGTTTGACAGCCCTGGCTTAGACAATGTAGCATTTTAGTCGTTTATTGAACCTAATGCAGAAAGGACTCAAGTAGGGAATAAGTTTCACATCACACATAATTAAATCATTTATTTATAATTAAACATGACTAGTCATAGATTTATTGATTAATAAATTAACTGGAAGAGGAAGGACTATCAGATATCTTTGCCACCTTGAGTATTTAGACTTAGACTTCTGGTAATGGCAATCAATGACTACTGATTTTGATGATTGTTTACTCAGGATGAGCATGCTTGGGTTGGAAAGTGATAGTGGAAATGACTTATTACTCTTTCAGGCTTTATGCTATCCAAACCTATGCAATTGTCACTGTAATGCAGAATGCAAGACTAGACTGATTTTATAGCCTGACCCAGCAGGCTCTTCTTATGTTCTTTTTTTTCTACTTGTTAAAAAAAAAGTATCAAAGCACCATCATAATACTCACTCTCAAAAACATAAATTCATATGTTCCTAGTTTGGAAGAAGAGTGTGAATCTTCTCTTTGCACAGCTGCATTAAGAGCCATGAATATGAACCTGCAAAATGATATGAAGAAGCTGACGGCAATCTTTGAGAAGCTGCATACATACATTTGTCTTCTAGCCTTACCCAGTAAGTGTGGGCTTTGGGCAACAACAGTTCAGGATTCAATGTGATGTATGAAATGTGACTTCTTGAAGAAGACAGATTCTGAATTCATTCTCTTAATTGACTCAAAGAAGCTGGCCTATACATTTGTATCTTTCACTGTAATAACTCACGTAATCCATGAAGGAAAATAATTGAAATCAATCCCATGAAATGATTTGAATTATTTAAAGTAGGATTGATCACTAATTTCACTAATTTGGGTTCTTGCTCAGATGGGTGATTCTAATTTTGTTTAAATTGCTAATCTGAATGGTAGTGATTTTACCGTGTGCTGACAATTTAACAAATGGATTTAATTTGAATATTTTATAATGTAATGCCACATGGTATTTTTCAGATGGTTTTTCTGTGCCATCCTAATTCTGCTTAAAAGAAGAAATCTGAACTTGGTACAAATGTAATAAGTAGAAAAAAACTATAATTGGATGTTGCTGCCTTTTGGGCTCATTGATTACACTGTTTAACTGAGTTAGGTCTATGGTTTATTTCAACAGAGGTGTTTGATTTGTTTACTCAATACTATTCTGTGTTTCTTTTCCCATTGCATACTTTTAAAAAGATACATATTTGTCCCCAAATTTCAATATTACTGTTGTTTATACAATCTAGGCACAAAAGCAGATCACCTGCTTCAAACAAATTTCAACTCTGTGTTCACATGCATTGCTTCAGCTCTTAATGGATTTCAAGAAGTTATGAAAGGTGAGATCATTTGAACTTGCTGTGTAGTTCACCCAGATTCAAGGAAATGAGAAGTTGAGGGAAGCAATTACTTTGCAAGGTTTTTTTGCTGGCAATAAAGCCTCTTTAAAAACAAAAACAAAATTGATTACTGAGCAGCAACAGATGGGAGCTATTGGTCTTCATTATGGTGAGCAGTAAGTAAAATGTATCTTCTTGTAAAACACACTTTCGGGTAGAAAAAAGTAAAAGTTAGAAATATCAAGGAGAAATAGATTTTCAAATTGGATTAGAATGAGAGGTTCAAAGGAAAGGAGAACTAATGTGGTGTAACAGTTAAGATTGAAAATATGAAGATTTCCAGTTCACCTTCAATCATGACTGTTAATAAGATTTTTGTGGGATTACAATGAAGGAAAATCTCCATATAAACTCTCTTGAAATGGAATATAAATCTTACAGGTAAAGGTGCTGTGACTTATGTGCATAACTGATACATATTAATTTATTTTGATTTTAGATATTAACAAGCACTTTAGTCAAAAAGCTACCTTGGAACGTGAGCTCCCTATAGCCACTCAGAAGCTCATCACCACCAATGACTGTATCTTATCCTCTCTGTTAGCATTAACTAATGCAACAGGCAAGGTAAAGTTTCTTTCAACTTAAGCAGTGACTTATCTGGGGAGCTAGTTAGAATTTGCAGCATAAATTCAAGTCCAGAAAACACACAGATGACTGATGTAGCAGGATTCATTAACTTCTTTATATACATAAAAACATTTTGAAGTAAAGTTTACAATACCAGTAGTTTCTTCCAACATGGAAAAGGTTACAAGCAAAACATAGGCAGCAGCTCAGAGCAGAGACCAGTTTTACTCCAGTTCATCAGGCAAGCAAGACTAGAGCCACACACAGGCCATTTCTTGTTTCAGTTTCCAAACAGCCCTCATTGGCTGACTTAGTTGCTATGCCTATTCATTGGCTGACTTTGTGACTAAATTCTATTCCAGTTCATGAATATACTCTGACAGCTAGTGTCAGAGTATAGTGTCAGTGTCAGAGTGTCAGTTTAGTGTCAGTGTCAGAGTGTCAGTTTAGAAACTGGGAGACCTTGAGTTCTAGTCTCATCTTAAGCACAAAAACAGCTGGGTGACCATGGGCCAGTCACTTCCTCTGAACTCTAAAAAGTAGGTAATGGCAAACCACTTCCACATTTTTTTCCTTTTAATGATCCTGTAATCCCTTACTTAGAGTGGAATTGGGACAACTTAATGGAGCTGAGTGTTTTCTGGCTGAATGCCCTTCCTGTCACCCATGCAGAGTTCACAGCAGATAATTAGTCATTGTGCCCAGAGAAAGAAATATCTTCTGTTACCTAGGATTTAACTCACAGCCTCCTGATTGTGAGGCGAGAGCTCTACCTCAAAGCCACTGCACTACTCAACCCATTTCCAAAATCTTGCCAAGAAAACTGCAGTAACTTTTTCAGGCAATCACCAGGAGTTGACAGTAACTTGAAGGCACCAAGAAAAAAGAAAGTTTAGAAAAGTGGTTTATCATTCATCTTGGAGATATATTTAGAACACACTATGTTACTGTGACTAGGGCTATATTTTTGAGAAATACTATTCATATGGTAAATCCTTAAAAAAAAAAAGCCAGATAGAATATAAGTTCAATATATCTAGACTGGAACTTTTACACATTTGCTTTATGTGCATGCATTCAAGCCCCCACTTTTGTTGTTACCAGTTTCAGTTTTTTAATTAAATGGGATGCTGATGTTGCAAAATGTCAACCCCTAACATATTTCACAGAAAGTTCAAGGCCGTATGGATTTTAAACAAAAAAATGGTGATAGGTAACTCAGTGCTGTTTTTTTATGTGTGTCAATACAGCGTTATCATAAAGGAGACAATGGCCATCTCACCTGTTGGCCTTCTGGGATTTGGGTGTTTTGCAGGGGTGGGATTCAACCGGTGTTACTACTGCTTTGGTAATTATGTTTTGCATGCACGTGTGCGCTTTGCATGCACATACGGCAGATGTGTGCTGTGCATGTGTGTAATACACAATAAGCTGTGCTGCCCAGACAGCTGATAAGCGCTGCGCACAGGTGTGCAGCATTTCAAAAATGGCTTTTTTATTGCTTTTTTAACCTCAGCTGTGCCGCGTAAAGCAGCTGAGGTTGAAAAAGCAGGAAATAAAGGACCGGTAAGAGCCCGGGCGGGTGGGCAGGCCAAACAGCAGCAGACACAAAACCGGTTCTGTGTCTGCTGCTCTTCAGAGCTACCGGTTCTATAGAGTCGGGCAGAACTGGTAGCATCCCACCCCTGGTGTTTTGTGACTGGCCACCAGGATCCTTTTTGAATTGACAATCTATCATATGATTATTTATTTCATTTATGTTAAACTGTAGTTTAATTTTGTATCCAAAGCAGACCAGTATATCATGTCTCTTGTTTTTGCATGTCTAGATTGCGTCATTCTTCTGCAATAATTTAGATAGTTTCACTCTATCACTGAGTTATGGACCTAAAGGAGGAATGGCATTTGTCAACCCCCTCTCAGCTGAGTGCATGCTTCAGTATAAGAAGAAAGCAGCTGCCTACATGAAACATCTGAAGAAGGTTTGTGCTTGTTCACATACAATAGATACACCAACAGCAGCTTGGATTCCTTGGGTGGGTTCAAAAAGTCCTTTCATGTGGGACTGAAATATTTTCCTTTTATGAAGAGGTTCTTTGTTAGAGATAGAACCGTTTCTGTTACTCAGTGGTGTATTAGCTAATTTGAAGCCGCTTCAGAGATTGCAGAGGCTGAAAATTGATGGATGAGCGTGAGAATTGTAATAGGCTTCCTGCTGTTAGTCTGTGAGGGAAACTGAAAGAAATTCCAAGAAGTAGGAAACTTAGGGATAGAGTATGGCTGTTTGGGGGAAAGTATATTTGGGATCTCCATATGGGCTGAGAGGGGGATTTGAGACAAATTATTTGAGGACTTAAATTAAGTAGAACCATGGAGAGTTAATGAGGTACTTGGCATAAGCCTTACATGTTTAATTGTCAGCAGAAGGAGCGAATTCTTAGTGATGAACTATGTTAGCAATGAGTATCTCTTCTTATACCTGATATTTATGTCCACTGTTGAATTGCCGTAGCCAACAATCTTAAGAATATTTTTGTCATTTACCCTGACACAATTTCTCTAAACCTTGTTCCAAACCTCAGGAAAGAGCAGAAAGCAACAAGGCATTGTGCTGTGTCCTGAATATTTTTATGGCTTACTACTACAGGAACATGTAACTCTTCCAAATTTTTGAAGCTTAGTGTAATATTGTGACAAAATCTCTTCCCCTCCCTCTTAGGTAGTATGCATTATTGGTACTAACCACAAATTTGCAATCTGCTAATTTCTGCTTAGCTATGTGGAGCCCTTCTTAACATCTGTGCAAAGTTAGCAGAAATGGTTGCAAAATAATGAGAAAATTCTCAGAAAGCTTTTTCCTGTTTACAGATAGCCAGAATTATAGCTGTGTTAATTTATGTTAGTCCCATGAACAGATTTCCCCTGCACAGTATGAATTTGTTTACCTTCTTTCCACATATTATATCTGCTTATATCCCTTGACTTTTTATAGTTGTAGAGTGTGCAAAAAGCTGAAAAGATAATTTATCTTCCAAGTGATGACGGATGAGCACCTATACAAAAAGCGTGACTTCAGGATCATGCTTAAATTTATTATTGGTAAATTCATGTCTATTATTAAAATATAATGTGCTGGATACTGAAACAAATATTCAATTATTTATTTAAAAGAGTTTTTTTAAAAATGTCTTTGTTCATAGTTCACTACTTCAGCTGAAAAGATTCTCAACTGCTTAAATAGGACCATTTAAAACAATAAGACTGTCCCACCCCATGGGTTTAATAATATGAAGATCATGATAAAAAGGAAAAAGCAAACAGAAATAACATATCACAGTGGAGATAGATGGGAAGAAATTTTTTCACACCTACAAACAAATATAAGCTTCAGGAAGAACTTAAACCTCTAATCATGTATTTCCTCAGCCTGTTAGTTTGAATTAGTTATAATACATTCATGGAGAAGATAAAATGGGTTGATTAAAAATATTTCTACTTGAATTCTCATGTGTTTTTGTCTTGTGAAGTGCTACAAGGGACATGAAGGCTCACTTGCTATAAACACTAATTTAATGAATGTTGTTTTCGTATTTTGCTTTTAGCTGGATGGAGAAAACTGGCAAGAGTAACACTCTCATTTGTGTTTATCAGTAGCAAGGAGCTGAAAAAAAACACAACAATTTCTCATCTGTGACTTTTATCACTTTGACCAGCTGTCTTGCTCCCTGTTCCTAACATTTCCTGCAGTCTTTGCTGTCTTTATACCACATGCAGTTTAATACCATTTTTTTCAGCATAACATTTGTCCAGAATAACACTCAGGATTTAATTCATTGTGTTGAGGTGCAATTTATATAAAGGAGAAGCAAGACTCTCCTTTGCCATTTTTGCCAAGTCCCATTCTGGGATGCTAAGAATAATGGCACAGACCCCTTCCCTAGAGGACAGAAAAGCACCTGGAATGTTTTTTTTTTTTTTGTTAACATGGGGAAGGATGATAAAAAACACAAGATATTCCTGCTTAGCCTGGTTCACCAAAATACGTGTTTTTTTTTTTGGTTCCAGCCTTGTCCTGATTCAGTGCCTTATGAAGAGGCTTTGGCTAATCGCAGGATTCTTCTGAGTTCCACAGAGAGCAGAGAAGGCCTCGCACAGCAGGTACTCCTGATCTGATATGCAGCCCCTTCAAAATACAGTATATGCACCATATTTGGGAGTTGCATTGGGGAGACATCTTAATTTATCACATGTGCTATTAGATATCTAAATGCAGACATCCATAATAAAGGGAGAATGAAACTTGTTTTTTGAACTTTGCTGTTGTATAACTTATCGAAATGCAGAATAGCGAAGGGGTTCTTTTACAACCTTTTCCTCCCAAAACTAGTTTTCTCTGCAAAAACCCAGTAACACTGTTTTATAATACTTAGACCTACACTTTACTCATCTGTTGTTGAACATTACCCTATCGGTATAAAATGTAAGAGAGAGAGACTTCAAGAAAGGACTTAAAAACTTAGCTATGCCATTTGAAACTGATACAAACCACCAGAATCACCCAAACCACAAGATGGGCAGCAAGTAAATTTGAGGGATGGATGGATAAATGGATGGATAGATTAGATCAGAGGTGTCAAACCCAAGGCCTGGGGGCTAGATTCGGACCAAGGGGTGCTGAGATCTGGCCCTTGGGGCCTCTCTGGAAACAGTGAAGAACCAGCCCATGGTGCCTTTGCCAGCAAAAATGGAGCTAGGGAGGGCCATGTGCGGCTCTCCCGAGCTCCGTTTTTGGCTGAGACAGCTGCCTGCAACATTCTGCCAGTGAAAACAGGGCTCATTTTTCACTGGGAGAGTGCTCAAGCCAACACAGGTGCCTCTGACATGAGTGACCTTGAGCTAGCCACGCCCCCTGCCCCCCTCCGAGGTCCAACACACCTTGATGTGGGCCTCAATGAAATTGAGTTTGACACCCCTGGATTAGATAGATAGATAGATGTTAGATGTGAATATAAACTGATTCTCCTCTGCCATCCCCCTATGCCCAATGCTCAGCAAATGGAAATACGGTACTTCAATAGAAAAAAAACCCAGATTTTACAATTTGTATTTGATTTATCTAATACCTTCTTTGGGGTATTTGGGTAATTGAAATCAGGCTGTAGTATGAAGGGTACTAGTTCATAGGACTATTACGTATATGATGTACAGCCCAGCCCGCCTGTTCAATTTGTTTCAGAGTTAAAAGTTCACTTGTAAATAGCTGTTAAAAGAACTAACATTATTTATGAGATCCTGCTCTAGTTTTCAAGTATAATTCAGTTTGCAGTAATCAGAAGGATTGACTTAAAAATGGAATTAGTAAACAGATGGGAATATATATCTAAAATGTACTTCTTGTTGAGGCTTTTGGAAAATAACTTCACTTCTTTTTCCCAGCTGCAAAACATTATCTAGAGTGAACAATCCATTAACCAAAACTTGTTATACTCGGGGGAAAGAGATCACACTAATGTACTCATATCTTAATTAAACTATACTGTTCAAGGTTTTTAAAACAATGTCTTTTTGTTTGTGATTTATAAAATGTTATCTAATCAGCTATTACAAGCATCTGTTTCTTCTGCAATTGAATATCTGTGGCTTGCATACACAGCTGTACAACATGTTACTATCATATGCTTACATTTTAAAATTAAGGAAACATTACAGCTTCATAAAAATCTGGCTGTCTTGTCAATGACTGCCCGTGATTTATCTAAAATGTTTTCTATACTCTTCCCTTTAAGGAGGGAATAGAAAGGCACACTGTACTGGAATCAAAGCCTTGTTCTTCATTCTTGAGGTTATGGTTGCTAGATACTTGGACATGCATGGACCACATGACAGCATATCGAAGCTATATGTTGGAACCTTTTGTTCCTCCAACTTCCTTTTGCAATTAACAGTTCCATGTGGATTATTTTTCAAACAGTCCATTACAGCTTTTCCTTTTTTTCACTGTAGCTTGTAAATAGGCATCAGTTTGCTTCGTGGTGATAATTTTCCTTATTCCCAGGTCCAGCAGAGTTTGGAAAAAATTGCAAAATTGGAACAAGAAAAAGAGCATTGGATGCTGGAGGCCCAGCTAGCTAAAATTAAGTTAGAAAAAGAGAATAAAAAAGTATCTGAAAAAGCCAAAACGTCTGTAGGCAACCAGCTGATTGAAGCAACCACAGAAAATTCCTTTGTGTTAAATGCAATGAAACAAGAAAAGGATGATGGTGCAGAAAAAGCACTGAGAGAGCCAGTTCAAAGTACAAGTTTGGTAAGTGTATTACATGCCACTGAGGTGGTGAAATATCGTATTTTTTCATGGATGCTTATCATGAAACAGTGGATTTATTAATTAGCACTTTGGGGAAATTAGCACAATAGTTGCATTTAGATGCCACAAAGGCATTTTAAAAAGGATCAGACGAAAGTCTAGGGGGAGAATTGGATTGGTATTGGAAAATGTTTGGCAACTGAAACGGAATAGTTTGGGTACACAATCTGAAGAACATTGAAGGCCAGAAGAGAAGGAAGAGCACCAAGGGACAATAGCTAACAAACGTAAATATCCCAGTGGTTAGTATGGCAGTGTGCCAGTATTTTTCTGATAGAAGTACAATGCTGTATCATCAGTTCAGATTTTGCTTCTGCCAATCCATCTCTATCTTAAGCAAATTTTATGCAGCTTAACATTCCTGTGATAAATAATGGGCGATTATTTAATTGTATATACAGATTTTAGACACTTGATAACATGATGTATTATGTCAATTAGTGCTTCAGAATTTCTTTCTTTAGCATTTGTTAGGTGTTAATACATTTGCAGTTCTGATTTAATGTTTTTAATGCACAGTATTAAGCAAAACAATTCAATGCATCTCAGGTTGTAATGTTTCATAGCCTCATTGAGAGCCCCATTGATTCTAGTGGGACGGAAATAAGCATATTATATATCCAATATGTCCTTTGAAATTGATGAAAACTAAGCACAGTTAATGCTTTTAAAATTTAGAACATGTTCTAGTTAAGATTCTACTGAAGTAAGATAGAGTAAATTTGACTGTATATAAATGATTTTAGAAGAATAAATTACTACTTTGAATTAACCTTGTCCTGATTTCTTTTAAAGATTGGAATGCTAACAGTGACCACTGGAAATGAAGAGGTACAGCATTAATATTATATAATGTTATATTTAGTATATCAAATAATGCAAATTATTTGGGCCATTAAGATTATGAAAACAGATCAATGTAGTTGAATGGCAGTTTTGTTGCTCTGGTTTACTAATACTATTTCTGCAACCATTTCTAATAGCTTCTATTGTTATTTCAAGATATGAGAAAGTAAATTCCACATTTTAACTACTGTATGTGCAGTGTGAAGAAATGCTTTGTTTTTCTTTCCCCAGTCAGCTAATTTGAGGTTGTACTTTCTGTATATTATTTTATAAATCTCAGTGAGTACTCTTCTCAACCTTGCCTTTTTTAGTTGAGAAAAACTTTTCTCATAAATGAGCTGTTGTCATCACTTTATAATTTTGTTTGCACTTTTTAACTCCACAATTTATTTGTTTGGATTATGGCTTTCACAAGCACCCAATGCAGTGGAAGACATGTTTGATTTGTGATGTTTTTCATACTTGAATAAACATTTACATTTTTTTCCACATATTTGCTTGGAAGATTCCAGAAGCTGATACCAGGGAAGATTTGATAAAGAACCACTATATGGCGAGAATAATAGAGCTTACATCTCAGCTACAGTTTGCTGATAGCAAGTCTGTACATTTTCATGCAGAGGTAAATGAACAATAAGTTGCTTACTCTGAAAACGAGATTTTAGTGTTACAATAAATGTTCTGTTTCTTATAGAGGCCTTTTCATTGGCTAATTCTTTGCCATTTATTTCTGGTAAGCAGGGGAATAAGGTGTGATTGTTTCAGTTACTTGTGCTATAATTTGCATTAGCTGTAAAGAAATATTAGGACAAGGAGAACAAGTAAAAGATTACCTAGAAAAGATGGATTTTCAGGAGATAAAAAAGGGAAGTTGCTACATGGGCATTCCACGTACCAACTATAAACAGCAGCAAAAGCAAGTAAAAGAAAATGTTTTAGATGTTTGAAGAAATGGAGCTGTAGAGTCATATGAATAAATGTATTGGGCTATAAATAGTTGAGAAGGAAGACCATGAAGCTCTTACAAAGTGAAGTTACTATGGGGTCCTTGGTGCTCCCTGACCTTGGTGGTTTTTTTCAGGATGTTTTGTTACCAAACTAGCTAACATCATCAGTGCTAGAAGGGAGTGGGGTTATACCCGTGGCTTGCCCTGTCAGCATTGGTGGGAGTGTTCTTTCTTTGTGGTTGCTTGATTAGCGGTTGTTTACCATTAACTTGTTTCTCTGTGCTGATAGTTCCTTGATTGGGGTACTGTTTACTTGGTTTTGATCTAGTGTTAATTTTGGTGTTAATATGAGTGATGTGGTGGTCAAGTGGTGAAGACACTTGCCTCCCACTTGGCAGGCTGAGAATTCAATCCTAGATAGTAGCAGGTGTTTCTCTCCAAGGCAGAAAGAAAAAAAAATCTGCAAACTCTACATAGGCATCAGGATGGACATCCGGCCAGTAAATGCTCAGCTCCATCCAGTTGCCTTATTTCTACCCCAAATAGGGACTATAGAATCATCTTTTTATTTCCTTTGGGGCTTTTTGGTTGTCTCTCTTGAATGGTATGCAGATGTTGTTTATCTCTAGGTACCTGCCTGTTGATAGCAGATTTGCCTGTGTCTGGACTCCAGGAATTCTCTGGCATATTTGGGCTTGGCTTCATCTAGGATGCTCACAGTTTCTCAGTTGAAACTCTGATTGAGTCTGTCCATGTGCTGTGAAATTAAGGAGTTTTCATCATGTCTTCTGACTGCTAGTTGGTCTTCATGGATGCACTAGTCTTCTGCCTGTTGGCTATTATATAGTGGCTGTTACAATTCTTAAACTGTATGTTGTAGATGATTTGAAGTCAGGAAACTTATGCAATTAGGAATAGTTAGGTAACCAGTAATAGGGATAAAGGAAAAGTTTTGCATTGTCAAAGTGATGAGACAGATGAGTAATTATCATGCTATGATAGTGATGAAGCTAAAAACATGAATGCGATGAAGCTAAAAACAAGTAGAACAAGTACAAGATGGAGAGAAAATAGCAGGTGAGAAATCATCCAGGCCTGGTTAAGACATGGTCCAGAGGATGGAACTGAGGCTCCAAGTTTTTAGTTTCTGTTTTATGGTTTTGTACTTTTAATATTGTGGTGAGCTGCCCAGAGCTGTGTTCTAACATGGGTGGATGTACAAATCTAACAAACAAGCAAATATGGACAGTGAGGAAAGATTGAATGTTTAAATGATGAAAAGGAAGAAATATGATACATTGTTTTTGAAAATAGGTGAAAGGGCTATGTCTGAATGCTGAACAGAAAGGGCTGTTGAGTTAATACTGAACACACAGATGATAGAAAATGGCAAAATCAAACAAGTATTTGAAGTGATATGATCCAAGATAAGAGTGGTAATTGATATCTAAGGAGAGAAAACAGAAAAGTGTAAAGATAGATTCACTTGGCTTTAGAGGCAAATTCTTAAGCAGAATGGAAAGCAGGCTATCAAAACACTTGTCATTTTTAGGGTTGAGTGGGATGAACTGGTGTTGTTTACACAGACTGATGGTACAGGAAAAGAGCAAAGAATGAACTTATCATGAATGAAGTTGCACAACTCCTTCTTCTGTTCCAGCGCATTGTTCAGCTGTATGAGGAAATGACTGAAAAACAACCCAAAATTAGTGCAGGAAGCCAACAGTTTATTGAGAAAAAGCAGCAAGAGCTGATAATGAGGAAAAACTGAAGGTGCAAACAGACAAAAAAAAGCTTTTTTGAAGAAAATAAGTTGTTTGATAGGCTGAGGTTACAGAATGAAAAGGATGTACAACATAAGGAGATATTCAGCAAATTGGTGATAGAAAGAATTGCAGAGTTTTTGCTAAAAACAAGGTTAAGAAACAAGTAGTCCTCAATTTACAACTGTTTGTTTGGTGACTGTTCGAAGTAATGACAATGAAAAAAGTGATCTATGACTATTTAACTTATGACTGTTGTAGCATCCCCGTGGTCATGTTATAAAAATTGGGTGCTTAGCAACTAATTCATGTTTATGATGGTTGCAGTGTCCCAGGGTCATGTTGATCCCCTTTTGCAACCTTCTGACCACAAAATTAATGCAAAAACCAGATTCACATGTTACTAACTTAACAACTGGAGTGATTCACTTAACCACTGTGGCAAGAAAGGTCATAAAATGGGCAAAATTCACTTAACAAATGTCTCACTTATCAACAGAAATTTGGGGGTCAGTTGTGGTCATAAGTTGAGGACTACCAGCATAGATCAAAACTTTTTGTTATTGAATCATAATAAAAATATGAAGAGACAAAGGGGAACCAAAGTAGTGGATCTGGCTGGGAGCAGAAGAGTATTGGGCTATGTCCAAAGCTAGAAATTGAGGAAGAAAAGCGACAGGAGGCAGTAGGATCAGATGGACTATCAACAAGAATATTAACATAACTGAAAAACCAGAGGAAGAATATTAGGAGATCAAATAGTCATCATTTCTGGGGCATATGTATATGCTGTAGGTACAGTTGTTGGAAACTTAACTTACTGTGGTTTTGTTTTTTGTTTTTTTTTGATAGTGCCGAGCACTTGTAAAACGGCTTACTCTAGCAGAGAATGCAAAAGAATCATTACTGGAAAAAATGAAATTAACAAGACTTAACATCAGCAAGTTACAGGCAAGTTTTTTTTGAAAACTTTGGGTAATGGTGTAATCCATTCTTTAAAAAATGTTTTCCAGTTTTAATTATGATTTTTAGCATTATCCAATTGGTGAAAGTTTAATTATTGTATCTGAATTTATTATAGCTGCCCAGCTCCAATGGACAATCCAGTTCTGTTGGTTGGATTTTTAAAAATTTGCCTGGTCTCAATAAATTTCTCATCATGGGGGTCGGGGTGGGGGTGGGAGCAGTTTGCCAGATAAAGTGATGATGTTAGAGTTTCTTTTCCAAGCCTGCTGTGTTATGTGTTGTTCAGGTAAAAAAGTTTGTTTGAGTTCCTGTTGTAAAGTGGTTGGTGTTCAATGCCATTTGCCATCCCCCTAGTAGTAAGTGTAATTCCAGTGTAATTCTTTAAAACAGGAATTGATCAACATCTTAAAGGAAATGCAAAATCACAATGAGCATTAGAATATGAAGCTGTTTTTTCTCTCTCTCTCCCCGTGTGTCCTGTTTTATGGGCTACTTATTGATTGCAGCAATGTGTCATTGTTTTGCAATGTTGGACAGAACCTAAAGGTGTCCTTCTCTGAATTTTTAGGATGAGTTGACAACAACCAAGAGAAGCTATGAAGATCAGTTAAGCATGATGAGTGACCACCTTTGCAGTATGAATGAAACCTTAACCAAACAACGGGAAGAGATAGATACATTAAAACTGGCTAACAAAGTAAGTAATCTCAATGCCACAAGTGATATTTGGTTTGTTGTGCAATTTGTTGGAGTGTTGTATTGTTCTGAGCATTTCTGGGTGTTTAACTAAATGATCTGTGAAAATACCTTAAGGCCTCACAAGGAAGATACACAGATGAGTACACTATAAATTCTGGTCAGTGAATTATGCAAAATAAGCTTGAGAGTTTTGATTTGACAATGAAGATTGTCTGTGGTTTAATGTTTAATTATGTCCACAGTTCTGCCTAGCAGATAGAAGATATATTAAAGTTTCATTCAGAAGGAATATATTCTACATTAAGTATTTAGATATGTTCAGGAAAGGGATACCATTTTTGGAATAAAGGGTAACAGGATGCATAGCACAAAACAAGCCACTAAATTAAGATGAGATGAAGAAAAGTTTAAAGATACATGTTTTGAGAAGATGAATAAGTGAAGAAATTGACTTATACCTAGGAATAGCAAGTGCAAAGCACTGAAATAAGAAAAACAGAGAAAAGGACTATTTTGAATGAGTGGACAAAGACTTTATTGAGCTTTGAAATTGTGAGTCATAGCACAGTTAGATGATTTTAGACTCACTCCTTGACCTCTCCATTTAGAAGGAATTCTGATAACAAGTCACTATCTTAAACCTTGAACTGTTAACAATTGATGCCTTTTTTCTGGACTGAAATGAATCAATTGTCTGCTCAGGCATAGCATTATTGTGAGTTAATTTGATGAGACGTGAATGAGAAAACATGCATGCAGTTCTGTTATATGAAGGCTAATTATCACCCTTCAGGTCTGAATAAAATTTCTGCCTTCTGATTTTAAAATTACTGGTTACTTATTACTTTTATTTAAAGGCCTTCATAACAGATTGCTTCTTGAGAATTTACATAGCATTATATCAGTTGGAATCTTACATCAAGATTCATATGAATTCAAACTAAGTATGACATGAAATCAAGCCAGTAACCATATATTGATTTGTTAGAAATCAGTACTGTGAAATTCTTGAAGAAACTAATTAATTTAGCTCCCAAACCGTAATTTTATTTCTCACTAATGAAAATACTTCCCTTTTTTCCAGGCAGCCAGAGTGTCTTGTGAGCAAAGCTTCATTTCTGAAATGTGTTAAATAATAACCTTTATATTTATTTATGTTTATTTATAATATGCTTTTGTACTAAACAATTTTTGAAATAAAATTGCAGCCATTTATTAAAGTGACTTAAAAAAACTCATTTGACTAGCTGGAAGATGCACTAGCATATTTGTAGTATGAATCCAATCTAGCTGGCATATCAGATGTCCTCTCACCAGTCTTCTTCCTGTATGGAATCTGGTACTTCCTTGCTGCATTCCCAAGTTCCAAAATTGAGCTTGTAACTAACATTTAAAACCTTTGGTTTTTGCAAGTGGTGATTTCTCCCCCCCAATGCCAGTTTCTTGGTAAAATTAATTCAAACAAAATAAATTATTTAAAAACTTTAAAAGAAGCCATGCATAACTGTTGCCATCTAAACATTGAGCTGGAAGTGCAGAATCCAATGCAGTTATACAGCAGCATTCTATCATTTTAAACAAAATTATCATATGTTTTTTTCTCGATCCAGGGAAATTCCAAGAAGAACAAAAGCCGATAGTATTGGTTGGCTAGCTGTTTTTACAATTATGCTGCGACAGAGAAAACACCGATACTGGGACTGGATTTCAGTTGGTCAACTCACCTGTTGCTTGGATATGGCTGTAATTCAGTTTAGGCTTTGATGTTGTGCATAAAATTGAAAACATACTGGTTGTGTTTAGCCAGCAAAATCTAAACTGAACTTGGTATGGTCAGAAACACGGGCAGGAAAATGAATATTGTATGGATAGCATGCATAGAACTCAACCATAATTTTTTATCATACACTTTGGATAAGTTTTAATTTCCATCTCCAAACTTCTTCAGTTGTGTATATTTTGATGCATACTAGATGAACAGATTGGGCATTAATGCAGTAGTTGTCTTTTCCTTCACTCCTGCTCATCCATCCTTGTTTACAAGAAATAACCAGATACATCAAGACTTTTTTGGCATTGTCCAACTATACAATTATTGTAGTATGTCTTCTAATGACTTTAGCTTTTGTAAGAGAGGCCGCCTCAAAATACTTTTACTGAAACATTCAATACAATGTGACTAATACAAATTCCTATTAATTGTAATGAACAACTGAAAACGTAGAATTGTTGTCTTTTGAAATGAAGGAGAGAAAGAAGGCCAGAGAAGGAGTTAATGTAAAATTGTGATGGACCTGTCTCTTATTTTTGTTTGTCTTATTTTTCACACAAAAGTGATGACTAAGAAATCACCTTCACCAACTGGAATAAGATGCAAAGAGGAAAAACACTGAAAAGGTCATCAGATAAAGGCTGGTATATAAGATAAGATATAATAAGTTACTGAATTAGTAAAGCTGTGTACAGAAGGACTGCTGTGGAATTTCATGTAACCAAGAATACACCGTAAGAGGTGCAATGCAGAGATTTAGGGATTTGTTTGCATCACTGCCTACATTTTTACATCGTAGTTTGTTATTTTCCCTATCCTGTTCAATCCTCTTGAGAATGGTGGCTTGGCTCTTGAGATTCACACTACTTCTTTCATAGATATATTTGTTTTCATATTCTAGCAGACTTCTAAAAGTCTTATCTGGCCCTATTAGAGGCTGAATCAATCCTTGGTTGATTTCTCCATGGAATTTGAAATTGCCATCTAAATATACTGATATTTCCATTCATTTTTTTTTTGCAAGGGTTTTCTCCAACCAGGAATTCACAGATTCACTACAATTCACTACTGTATGAATTCTACTAGTACATAAGAGATAGCTGTACGTCCATCAGGTTACTCCACTGTATTAACTACGTCAATGTGCTTTATGAATGTAGAATAAATACACTGCCAGCTAAATATTCCCTTTAGAAGTTTGTTTGAAGGGTGGTAGTGGTCCACAATTTCACAATAGATGTTGAACAACACTGTCTTGAGTAAGTTTATATCTCATGTTTTATGTTTTTTTAAGAATAGATCTGTCTACAGTGGAACAAATATTAAAAATCTTGACTAATGGAAACATGGATTTTATGTATTGAAGAAAATAATGCTTTTTTTTGAAAAACAAATGTTAAACTGATACTTATAAAAGAGGAATTACCCTTGAATCACCCTCAAGCTATCTAGAAAATTCGTAAGATTTATTTAGATTGAAATATAAACTAAGGGAGAATAGATACTTATAAAAGAGGAATTACCCTTGAATCACCCTCAAGCTATCTAGAAAATTCGTAAGATTTATTTAGATTGAAATATAAACTAAGGGAGAATAGATTTTAACATGACTGACTGATTTGACCTTGGTTATTTTCATGTTACGTTGCTGATTCCTGAAATCCTTTTGTTATCTCATTCTCAGCCTTTAAGATAGTAAGGCGGCTGTTAAAGGGGGCTGGGTAAAAGGAAAACATCTGGTAGAGGAAGATTAATGAAAAGCTCATGTATAGAGAGAAAACTGCATGCAATTTTACATATACAGTATACTGATTTACATTTGCAGGGTTTTTTTATACAATGAACTACATATACCTGTGGTTTTGAAGGGCAAAAGGACACATTGCAGCAATTTCTGAATTGGCCATTTCTCTGTTTTTACCTGTCCTTATATATTCATCCTACATTACATTATCCACATCTGCAGTTTAGGAACTGTTTTTGTTTACTGCCAGCTAACTTGTTTTATTTTCTGTTCATTTCTATATAGCAATTGAACAGGGGAAGCTTTGGTTTAGAATTGTAATGTTTTAGTACAATACAGCGGAAGAATTCATGAAATATGTGAAGTTTGAAACATTTTAGTGCATACCTCCAAAAGTGTTTTGCAGGCATGTCTGTTGCTACTTTGTTGATTTCTTCCTTGATTTTTGCATTTCTGAAGTCATTTAGAATGATATAAAACAGGTTAGCTAAAACTAGCATAAACAACCCCATAATTAAATTTATATTAAAATCAGTCACAAAGCAGTAATATTGTTAGCCCTTCTCATCTTGTAGCATATATTTGCTTAATCCTTTCTTATGCATATTTATGCAGGAAAACAATCCTCTTATTTGCTCATGTCCTAGAAAAAGATTTTTTTAGCTGGGATGCACTTTTATGTCTAGCTTTGTGGCTAAACACAAAACATAGCCGGATTAGTGTGAATGATCTTTCATCTGCTTCAGTTGGTTTCTGGGAGCTTTATTGGTTAGGATGGTACAGTCACAGTAATCAGAGCTCAGTTAAACTCCCAGCTGGCTGATTATTTATCACAGTGAGACATAGCTTGTTTTATCCCTCATTTATTTTTTACAATGGCTGGGTCACAGATCTTATGAGGCCACAAGTGAAGTTTGTGGACCACAAGCCCCTATAAAACTTTCTGGAATAGTAATTTGTTTATTTTATTTTTTTAAGATTTGGGGGAGAAAAGTTTGGGAAGGATGCTAAGAGGCTAAATGAATTTATTTATTTGATTTTTATCCCACCTTAATACATAATACGCAGTCCTCCTGTTTTCTCCACAACAACAATCTTATTGAGTGGGTTGGAGTGAGTGAAAGTGACTGGGTGAAAGTCACCCAGCAGGCTTTCATGCATAAGGTGGGACTAGAACTCAGTCTCCTAGTTTCTAGTCCACATCTTAATCACCACATCACACTGGCTCTGCAAGGATAGCTTTTGTTTTTCAAAAGTAAAAGCCCTAGAATGCTTTTGAAACAAAATGGTTGCCTATTGTACTACTTTGCAACAGATAACATATTTGTCTTCAGTCATTTTTCATTCAGTTCACTTCCTGGTCAACCTATGGCTTACCAAGACCTGTGAATTCTCCAAATAATAGAGCCAATTAGCAAAGTATACCTGAGGTGCCTAATGGATCTGGTTGGTTGCTTGAAGATTTTCCAAGCAGTTTGGCAGGAAGTCCTCCATATGCTTTGTTCAACCTTGGAGCTCAGAGATGAAAAAGGCACCAAGTTATCTCACTGCCTATTGATCTTATCAAATGTACCAAGGAATCCGGAGAGATAATAGCAGAAGTGATGCCTATAATTGCAGTGGTGTAAGACAAGGAATTAGAATATGAACTGAGTACAGGTATCAATCCAGATTTAGTGTGGCTGTTTCTTGACTGTGGTTACTTCAGTGACAAAATTGTGTTATGTTTAAGATGACCCTGTTAATGAAGGACAGAAGGAAAAACTTTCCTGCAGCACACAGCATATTTGCTGAATATTTTGTCAATAAAGGTTAGTCAGCCAGGTCTAGACTGCTCATGAACATAATTCTATGAGGAGACTTGGAGAAGGTCTTGCATGCATATCTGCGATTTGTTTGGTCTTGTGAATTCTCAAGAAGTGGTAAGATCCTTTGCATCAAGAACTCTGCCACCTGAGAGCTAGATCCATGCCCCACCCGGCTCTTTTGAGCAACTATATGTCTATATTTAGATTCAACAAATGACTAATGCTTCTTTGGGAGAAGGAATGGTATGTGTCATCTTGGAAGAGGTAGTGGTACACTTGCTCCTGAAGAAGTATCTTTGGGGGAGAAATTGTTGAAGAAAAAGTGGGATGACAATTGCAGAGAAGATGATCTGAATGTGTTCCAGTATTGGTTCGGATTAGGTATGTAATCAAAACAACATTACTGTAGAAACTGTAGTAGATATTCTTTCTTGGGAACTAAGTAGAGGGAGTGAGGCCCTCCTCATCCTACTTGCTGTCAGCAGCAATCAATATGACTGATTCTAGTATCCTTAAGCACTTTGAGAGGAGGGGGTATACTGTACTCCTTCCTGAATTGGAAGTTCTAGTTCATAGCATGGGACAGATAAACAGGTGAACCCGCTCTGCGGGGGTACCACAGTTCTTGCTTATTTTCCCCATACATTTAATATCTGTATGAAACACTATTGGAACTATTTAACATTCATTCACACAATATCAATATACCATATATATCCCATAAATCTTAACACAGTCCAATAAACCAATTACTGTATCAAGTCCTGAAATTACTTAAGCCACTATTAATGGATTTAAACCTATTAAGAATTAAGATAAAAAATTAAGTTCGCTAGAGCAATACCAGCATGTTCTCCATGTACTTATTTAGGAAGAAAAGATGAACCTTACATATTTTAAAGTGTGCAATGTTTCTTTCGCAATACTGAATCTCTCTTGTCAATTTGAGTGTCCTGCAATGGCTCAAAAGCGTCTGCTTTTCTTATCTGGACAAAGAAGCAGAAGCTGAGAATTCCTATGATTTGGTAGAAATCCATTTTGCTTCTATCCCAGCCTGGAATTTGAGATTGCAAATTAGAACGGAAGAGCCATTGTGTCTGGATATGAAAGGAATTCTTGGTTATTAGTATAGGGATTCAGTTAAATTCCTTTTGCAACATTTAAGGACTATATTAATTAACCAATATATGTTGACAAGCCAGTAGAGTATTCTTATAAAATTCTTATAAAATTTATGTTTTATAGTGTGTTACTGTATTGGGATGAAAAAAACCTAAAAACCGAAAATGACTCAATGTTAATGATAGTTTTCTAGGACTTTGGTTAACAGACAATTGTGTTTTTTTTCCTAATCTGTTGCCCTGTCTAATGTTAGACAATACTGCAGTGTACTGGTTTTCCTTAACACAGAGATTGGAGAAGGGATTACTTTTTGTTGAAATATGATCATACAATTATTTAAATGGATTTAAAGAATATAATGTTCAGCTAACCAAAGTATAATTGGTATATGTGCAATAGTAGTCTCAATTGTTTTACATAGTGGGCAGAGCTATTATATTCCACACATAATTAGGGTAGCAATACATAAATTCAGGAGAACCCCAGATTTTAAAGACACCAAAAGTAGTGCCTAAATTTCCCAAGAACAAACCAATTAAACTCTGAGTTAGATCAATGGTCTCAAAATCCTGGCTAATAGGCTATGATAATCATCATTAGATAGCAAA